TCCTTTTCACAAATATTTACTCCGTCACCGCATTTCCTGCTAGCCTCCAGGGAAGGGGGGGCGTGTGGCATCTCAGCCGTAAAATATGTCCCGAAGCTCGGAGCCAAAGTGCGGAATAAGGCTGACGAGGTCAACATGGGAAAAACATGCTCACTATTCCTGAGATGTCCGAAAATCTTCGGAGATCCCTTGTCTTACAGGAGGGCGTTCGGATAGTAAATTGCCTTCTTCCTCGAACCGGGGAGGGAATGAGACCTGCGTCAAAGCCACAAACGCCACCGCGAGCCGTGTTGCAATATAGGCATGTACTATGGAGAGTGTGCATGAGCTGACACCTCCGACGTCTCAGCCGACGATGAGAGCCGTCTGCGGTCATGTTTATCAGATGATATTTGATCTGAACGGATTGCTGAATCAAGAGAAGCCGGGCAGACGGCCGCGTCATGGGATGAAGGGTAGTCTGTCGTCCGCTGTTTTGGGCTGCATTTTCAGGTTCCCCCGCTCTCTCGTTCTTCTGTTCACCCTGCTCTTTTGGATTTACATGCACAGTAATACTAAGATTTGTACATTACATCACGACCAAGAGATCAGCGTGTTTTCTACTTCGCAGATGAATGAAGCCTTCAGCTATAGGTGTCGGGGCAGTGCCAATTCAAACTACCAATGTATTCTACTACAGATTATAAAAATGGATTTCTCCTTCTCCCACCATTTCTTGAATTGAACTTTTTTTCCACCCAATGTTACTCACTCGGAGACCGATCTCTATCCGAGTACTTGAGGAGTCGCCTATGGTACTTCACATTGCCGATGACCTTATGCCCTTCCGTTCCCTATATTTTCCCTGTTAACTCAAGTCTATATTCTAGTGGCAATTTAAGCATATCACCTCTAATCTAGGACTTTAAATCGTGATTACGGATCAGAATCATCGATCGGAATCAGAACGAGGCTCTGAGGCTGCCGGAGGGATCAACGTATATCCGCTGACAGCCATCGGAGACTTTCATCTCATTCCCCACACCCTAGACCTCAATAGTGAGAAGCAAGAGCCGCAATCTGACCACTGCTCTGGAGGCTCTGGTGATATTTCTTTCCCTGAAGCTATCTAATATCTAAGATCTCGTAGACAGTGTAGATAAAGGGGAGAGGGCCCGAGAGGGTGGGCTTGGCGTGAGAGAGCATCTACGACAACGATACCACAGCCAAGGCTGATTTGGAAAAGATCAGTGACTTTGCTTTATATTTAAAAAGAAATGCATGGCGGATATAACACTTTTTCATATTTTAATATATGTATCGTACTCTACAAAGGAACTTCATGTGTATTCGTAATCGTAGAGTGACACCATCCAGAGCTCCTTGATAGGTGAATCTCAATCCGTATGAGATGCGTAGAGTGGCCTCGAGCTTGTTAGATACTTGGAAGATCTTGAAAAAAATTCACGGAGAGTATGAAAAACGAAGTGAAGCTGCTATTTCAAGAGAAATGGTATGCGAAATGGAAAATCAATGGACGTGGGCGTACAAGAAAAATAAGGAAGACTGGACTCCCTACAACCTAGGTTGGATCACATCGATTGAAAATGGCTCAAAAAATCATCAAATCCTCAGTCAGCGTCACATTGAGGCTGACTAGATCTTGGCCATTGATGAACAGGAGAACAGTCTGATGGTTGGGCGTCCCTGCTACGATGACTGAACAGCTAATAATGAAAGATGGCGACAGCTACCAGGCTGCCCCGGACCGTTCAGAAACCTTGAGTTATCATCAGGGAGAGCATCATGGACCTTCATCGGAGAACCTGGTCAACGCGCCGCAGTCCGTCGTGTCATAGGTTCCCGAGTTTTTGGTGCTCATTGACGCACTCCATGAAACATAGACGGCAGCTCTTGTTTGGAAGCGACCGAGTTAATCCGGAGACTGAAGGGGTAAAACGTAGAAATATCCCCAAATCAATATATCGTCGACATTCAGGCAAGCTTGGCGAATTTCTCTGATCTATTTGAGCCCAATGGGGAGGTTGAGGTACTCAGAATCACCGAGGACATTGTAATTGAACATGAAGAATGAGCATCTGCCCTCTAGACAGAATTGTCGTGGGATTCGCCTGCATTGGAGGTAGTCATAAGATGATTAGTAGAACCCTATGCTCAAAAGCAATTGATTGTGATTAAACTTGCTTCAATGTTGATTAAGAGTGATATTTTAATTCTTACGTAGGGCGGCTCCAAAGGTTCTGCTTCTCCGTCTTTAGTTGGGCTGCTTGCCAAGCTGCCCTCAGCCGAACTTCTCATGAGGCCATAAATCAAGCGTACCAGAAGGAGAAGGTGCTCTGCAACGAGAGAGAAAGAGATATAGCCATCTGTTCGATCGGGTCAAGTGATCAGGCAGTGCGTAGTGGCCGTGGCCAGAAGGCCCTGCTCTGGGTCTCCCTCACAAGGAAAAGTATTCCACCATGCATAAGATCCGAGAAGCACTGGCAAAAGAGGCCAAAGCAGCGAAGCATGGCAAGGCTTATGCTATAGCTGATGGATATGTCCTTGAAATCTGCAAGAGATTGTCGGAATTGAGGAGACGACCCAGTTTGTGAAGCTACCAGACATCTCGGCCGATTGATATTTCTCTCCCTGATGCCCGATGGTTGGAATAAGAGAGGCCTTGCGCGCATAGAACCCTAGGAAGGCCGGTGCTGAATACTACGACAGTGAAAATAGTTGACCTCTTGCCGTTGCAGCGAACAACGGCGGCGAATAAATCGTTCGTATGTCGATTGAGAACGGCGTCCAAGTAGACGGAGCCTACTTGGACAGGGAAAACGCCCCTCATGCCTACGGTTCGATCAATTCGCGGCCAAAAGATCCGGCTCTTCCTTGGCTAAAGAGTCGAGATGGACGTTTGGTCCACGTCTGGATGAGCACCGCATTTTCGAGCGACTTCTCGCTCCATTCTAAATGGCGCTGCTATTGAGGCTCATAGTATTCGCGGCAAGAGAACCTTCTGGATACAATCCACGGGCCAGATGGGCATCGCGTTTCAATCAATCAATGTTGCGTCGACGGCCACTCGCCATGGCGGTAATGGAGTGATTACTCTGGTGTATGCAATCTAGGCGTTTATTGGAAGCCTCGCGCGACCTCGTGAAGACAAGAGGGTTGATGGACGCCTTGGGCCAAGAAGGCAGAACAGCTTTTTCTTGAGCAGCAAGTGCTGGTCACTGATGGCTGAAGCAGAAGCTGATGTCAACATCAGAGCAGATGACAGCCATTTGTCGCTTGACTATGCCACTCAATGGCCTCATCGAGAAGTGGGAGAAGTCCTTGAAGGAAAATCAGCAATAGTTACCACCGGGGCACTTGAGTTGGGGGCGTGCTTGACGATTTGGATGAGCACTAGAAGCCAGTTGGCTCGTCTCTCACTCGTTAAGAAGGCAATCGTCTCCAGGCAACGCGAGTAATTAAAGACGCAAAAATAGAAGGGTCTCTGATTCTCTTATTTCAAGCGACGTACGGCAAATAACATTCATTCATAATCGTTTCGACGACTGTCGCCGACAAGGGCCTGACCTAGAAACATGGTCATTTCGCCCCGTTTGTGAGAATTACTTGTTCTTTTCATTATAATATTCCCAGAATCAATCCCAGGAAGCCTCCAAGTCGCATAGCGGGCAACCACGAGAGTCAATTCTCATTCATAAGCCTTCCCAACCGGCACTGCTTGATTACTAGGACCTCAGACAGCCTTCTCCAGCAGACGAACAAGCCCATCCTTATCAGCTCCAACCAGATCGCCGGCGGGCTTATCATCAAGGAACAGCTTGAAGGCGGGCATTTCACGGACGCCCATGTCTGCGGCGAGCTCGGGGAGCTGGTCAATATCAACCTTGAGGAAGCGAACGTCCTTGAACCTGTCTTGCTCTGAACACCTGCATAGTTGACGTCATGATTTAGTCAGGCCACGCCGATTGATTTGATAGAAATTTAAATAAGAGGCAGATCAGAGTCGGGGGAGCGACTCACTCGACAAAGGCGGGAGCGATGGTCTTGCACGGGGTGTACCAGGTGGCGTAGAAGTCGACAGCGACAGCCCTGTGCTTGTGGAGGGTCTGCTCAAAGTCCTCCTTGCTATCACGTCGGCCGAATAAGCATTTGGGACTTCGCCAGGGCCGCCTTGGGAAGAAAGAATCGACTTACGTTTTGATATTGTGAACGCCCATCTTTAAACTGATCAATAGTAGATTATTTGAGTGATGTATTTCGACGTACCGTCAAGCGCTTCTTACTATAGGTCGGTAAATTTCGAGGAAGATTCAGTTCCAGACAAAAGGCTTGAGGGGGAGAATCTTCGCTTTATTTGCGTAGCTCTCCTCTCTCTGATCAAGCAATGACGTTTAGAATTCGGCGCGATGGCCGTCACTAGCTAGTGAGATGCCCATGACGCCATGGCTCTTCTCTACCTTCATTGTTCCATTCGCTGAATCACTGGATTCGATCAATAATCATCTCCTCTTCCTGCAGCGATGGAGTCAAAGCACACAGCAAGAGAGTGACGCTGGCCATACTGGTCTGGCGACACTCAACCGGCAGATCAACGCCACGACAAGAACATCAATGCAGGCGTAAATGGGGCGTCTACTGCTCCTCTCCATCTTCGGCAAGCTAACAGGCTATTTGGCATTCCGGCAAGCTCCTGCTCTCACGCCAATCACACGGCTGCGGGTATCGTCGGGGATCGGCTCCGGATTCGCCTCGACCAATTCCGCAGTCTTTCCCCACACCGGCTTCAAGCTCCCTGCGCCTTTGCAGAGACACAACAGGAGAGCTCCTTATAGCTATGTCATGTCATGTAGTTCATTGCCATTTGGGCCGAGCCCACTCCCTGTGATGAGGTCCTGAGTTCTGTCTTACCGCAAGAAATAAGCCCTTCCCCCTCTCTTACACCAGCATCTCACCCATCACCTCATCCATCATCTCAGTCAGCTCCAGGACAAACAGCAGCTATGTCAGACATCACACTCTACAGCTATTTCCGCTCCAGCTGCTCAGCCCGCGTCCGCATGTCCCTGGACATCAAGGGCATCCCCTACGACTACGTCCCCGTCAACCTCCTCAAGGGCGACCAGCTCTCGGACGAGCACCGCGCCATCAACCCCTCGGCCTCAGTCCCCCTCCTCGTCCCCAAGCCCAGCGGCGCAGACCAAGGCACAGGCGTCCCCTTCCGCATCGGCCAGTCCCTCGCTGCCCTAGAATATCTTGAGGAGGCCTACCCAGACACCACCCGCCTCCTTCCCAGCGATGTCAGAGCCCGCGCCATCGTCCGCGCCCTCGCCAACATCATCGCGGCCGACACGCAGCCCGTGACCAACCTGCGCATCATGCGCCGCGTCCGCGAGCTGGGCGGCAGCGCCGAGGACTGGAACAAGTCCCTCATGGCCGAGGGCCTGCGCGCCTACGAGGCCGTCAGCGCGCCGTACGCCGGGAGATTCTCATACGGCGACGAGGTCTCGATCGCGGACCTGTGCCTGCTGCCGGCGGCGTGGAATGCCCAGCGGTTCGGGGTCGATCTGGCCGAGTTCCCTGTCGTGAGCAGGGTGGTGAAGAATCTGGAGGGGGAGCCGGCGATGCAGAAGGCGTCGTACTTTAAGCAGGTTGATACGCCTGAGAATCTACGGGCTTGAATACATTAGGTTGTTTACTTTTATTGTTCAATTTAATGTGGTTTTTTCATTTGTGTTTCGATTACCTACCAGATAGCGATTGTCAATAGCAGACTGTCAATCAATCTATGAATAAACTCATTCAAAGTCATACGCATTCAGATTTCGTCTTCATTTTGAGATTCCCACTAGCTTAAAACAACGGAAGAGCAGCCTGGATGGTGCCAGAAACCTCGCCAAACCCGATCCTCGCCCCGTCCTCCCCGGCCCAGCCCCGGATCACCAGCGTGTCCCCGTCCTGCAAAAACTTGCGCTCGTCGCCGCCGACCTGGATGCTGGCCTTGCCGCCCCCCGTGATCTCCAGCAGACTGCCCTCGGTGCCCGACTCGGTGCCGGAGATGGTGCCCGAGCCGAGAAGGTCGCCCGTCTGCAGGTTGCAGCCCGTGATGGTGTGGTGGGCGATCATCTGCGGCCAGGACCAGAGCAGGTTGCTCGAGTTGGTCTTGGACACGGTCTTCTTGGAGCCGCCGGCGGCTACATGTATCTATTAGCCACAAGTTTTAATCGTGGCTTATTAAAGATGGCACTCACTTGTAAGATCAACCTCGAGATTGATATTCAGCACATTCTCCTTCAGATCCTCCTTAAGATACGGCAGCAGCTCATTGTCATTCTTGATCCCCGCCTTCTTGGGCACGGCATCCGCCAGCACGACCCAGGGACTAATACTCGTCCCCAGGTTCTTGGACGTGAAGGGCCCGAGCGGGATGTACTCCCACGCCTGGATATCCCTCGCGCTCCAGTCGTTCATGAGTACGTACCCGAAGATGTGCCCCTCCGCCTCGTTGACGGGCACAGGCGAGCCCAGCTCGTTGGACCGGCAGACGAACATGCCCAGCTCGAGCTCGAGGTCCAGCCTCTCGCACGGCGCCAGCGCGGGGACCTTGGGCTCTGCTTTCGGGTCGCGCAGGATCTGGCCCCAGGGCCGGCGGATGGGCGTGCCCGAGACGACGACGCTGCTGGCGCGGCCGTGGTAGGCGACGGGGAGGTGGGTGTAGTTTGGCTGGAGGGCGTTGGCGGGCCCGCGGAAGAGGCAGCCGACGTTGTAGGCGTGGTTCTTGCCCGCGTAGAAGTCGGTGTAGTCGCCGATGGCGAGGGGCACGTGGCTCGTCACGTCCGCAAGGGCGACGAGGGCCGCGTCACGGAACTGGACGTTGTCTTTAAGCAAAGCGGCGTACTTGGTGTCGCTCTTGAAAACCTCCTGGATGTACGCGCGGGTGGCGCGGTGGAAGGGCCGGCCGAGGGCGGCGAAGGCGTTCAGGGTCTTCTCGGCGAAGACGGACCTGTACTGGTGGATCTCGGCGTGCTCTGAGAAGCCGTTGGCGGCGCTGAAGGCCTTGAGATCGAGCGCATAGTCGCCGATAGCAATGGCCGGACGCGGGGTGGGATCTCGCTTGGTGGAGATGATGCCAAAGGGGATGTTGGCCAGGGAGAAGGGCGCATCAGCGGCGATGTTGAGCCAGGAGGATGCCATGATGGGCAAAAGTAACAGTGGTGATCAATGAATGAGTGAAGATGGAGGTGCAGAGGTGAGATGCGAGAGATGGGATATAGGAGGAGGGGTTGCGCAGTGATAACAAATCTGGATCAGAAACGGCAGGGCATCTCTCGACCGATCTCGCCAATCAAGCCATCTCATCGGCCGCACGAGATGGAGCTCTCAAGATAACATCATACCTGCATATGTAATTCTCTCCATGACAGCGGCCTGTGCCGAGTCCAACCGATCGGAATCGGAAACCCAAGGCCCAATCCGGCCAATCCGAGGCCGCTTCCCCAGATTTTACCCTCAAGGCCGCCGCGCGGAATTTCGCCGCAATTGAATTGCCCCTCGACCCCTCTTTTCGCCGAAGCCCCGCACTCACCAGCTACCCTGGACTAGAGGCCAATGCCAGTCGAAGCAAGAGTCGGTCATTTATTTATAAAGACGTCTTGTTTGCGCTGAATCATTAAGGGATATTCACGGCTGTGCCCGAGCTTCCCTTCAACCAGTCGGGATGTGAAGAAATCTCCGTCATCAACTTTAACCAAGGCCGATGGCATCATATTGTATTGGGCATGCTCACCGTCATAGAAAACATCTCAACTAGAGAGGGGCACTGGATTCAAGTCGAACAGATCTCTTAGAAGGCAAATATCAATTGTCATAATCATTCAAATCATGTATTACCACAAGACATCATCCTCATATCCCATAAATCCTTATTGAAGACCCCCCTCACACCCTCGGCCAAAACGTCTCCTCCGCCGCCAGCACCTCCCTCCACAGCTCCTGCGCCCTGCTCAGCAGCTTCCCTTTGATCCCCTCCCCGTGCAGGCTCACCTCGAGCGCCACCGCATCGTCCACAATCGCCCCCAGCCTGTCCACAAACGCCCCAAACTCCTTGCTCGTCCAGTTGGGTATGAACTCGTCCCTCAGCGCCCCGCCGTCCGCATCTCCCCCCTGTGGTGCAGGCCCCATCCGCGCCTTGACCCCCGCCCACGCATCCAGGTAGCACCTCTCGGTCGCGTAGAACAGCAGCGCCGACTCGAGCCACGGCAGGATGATATTCCCCGAGTGTCCCACGCTAGAAAACAGATTCTCGAAGCGGCGCAGGCCCTCGATCTTGGCCCCCTCGGCGATCTCCCCCCCTTGCGTCGGCAGGTCGACGTCGAGCCCGAACCTCCGAGCCGCCTCGACGAACAGCCTCTCCTCGCGGCGGATGTTGACGAGGGCGTCGACGGCCCAGTCGAGCAGCTTGACGACGAGCTCGTTGGCCCGCGTGGACGGCTTGGTGAGGACGGGGAGCTGCAGCGAGCTGAGCAGCAGGCCCAGGCCGTGGATGTAGGCGTGGATGTAGAGCCGGTCGTTGGCCAGCCACTGCGAGAGGAGGGGCTTGGTGAGCGTCCCCGCGGCGGCGGCGGCGAGGAAGGGCGAGTTGGTCGCGCGCTTGTAGGAGGCGGCGTCGGATGCGAGGAGGAGCCTGGTGAGGGAGCCCATGGTTATTCTGCTTGATTCTGGTGATTATCGTTTGGTTTGGAGATGGGAGATGGATATGTGCAGATGGCTTTTATTGAGATGATGTCTGTGTGCTGCTGCGGGAATTGGCGCCCTCCGCCGCACCCGCTTTGGGCACCGACCTCGAGCTGCAGCATCTTTCGGTCCAGCTGCCGCATCACCTGTCGCGGTTGGGCCATTCCTACGTCATTCCTTTGTGATCCAGCGTAGCACCAGCCCGCTTCTGCAGCTCTTGACAGCTACGACGGGGCCCAAAAGCACACCACCAAACTCCGAGCCAGCCCCGAGTAGTCACTGGGCTGCGTCCCGTGGATGATTTCGTCGATTCCTAATCGCAATGGAGATGTAATTTTCATAATGATCAAGGCAATAATTGTGAGTGAAGGGTGTAGTGAGACAAGCAATCTGTCATCTGGTACACGCTGTAACTTGGTTCTCTCGCTCCATGATTGGCCAATGGATGCACACAGATACAGTCACAGCCCGACAGGGTGCGTAAATAATAAGAAAAAAGCAAGAGAACACTCTCAACTCCAAACCTCACTGGAAACAAGCAATAAATAAGTCCACGAGAAACAACTACCGGACGAGCGCAATTCATTCCAGGGTAGGCTTGGCCCTCAGTGCAAAACCCACCTGGCCGCCCATTTTCGGGTAACCTTCAGGGCGGATACCCACTCTCTCGGCTCATTGAATGCACCTGTTGTGTGACTTTTCACCTCGAAACCACCTCATCTCGGCATCTGACACCCCTCTGCACCTGTTTCTACTGGTATTGTCATCTTTATTTCTCTATCTGTCTAGCAGTTCCAGCCCCCGTCTATCCCGATGGCTGCTCCGCTAATGTACGACGCATCGCTGCTCAGGAGGAACGCAATCAGCGTGGCCACCTCCTCCGGTTGCCCGACGCGCCGCAGCGAGATCTCCTGATTCAACTCCCTCTCCGCCTCCGTGTTGCTGCCGCTTCTCCCAGCCGCCTCGGCAGCCTGCGCAAGCATTGGCGTTGCGATTCGGCCACTGTGCAGGTTACCAAGGTCAGTATTCGTCTCTCAATGACTGTCTCGCGGCAGGGGATCGAAGCCAAGGGAGGGCCTTCATTAAGGAAAAGGGGCAACAACACAACGCAACAAAAAATATCAAACACAGAAAAGGGGAACAACATACGGGCAGATGGCATTCACGCGCACTCCTCGAGGCCCAACCTCCTTCGCCGCAGACTTGGTCAGCCCGATGACCGCGTGCTTGCTAGCCGCATACGAGCCGTTATTTGACCGACCCGTCACGCCCGCGATGGAGCTGACATTGACGACGCTGCCTCCCTCGCCCAGCTGTCGCAGCTGATGCTTCATGCAAAACATCAGCCCCTTGGCGTTGATGTCCATGATGAAGTCCCAGTCGTCCGCGCTCATCTTCTCCACGGACCCGGAGTCGCTGTGGATCGTCTTGGGCACCACTCCCGCCAGGTTCGCCGCTCCGTCCAGCCGTCCATGCTTGGCCACCGCCTCCTTTATCCACGCCTCCACGGCCTCTTCCTTACGAACATCAAGCGCAAACGTGTGCACCTGCGCCCCGGGGACCTGCGACTGGATCTTCTCCTTGGCGCCGTCGAGCGTTGAAGCCTGGATGTCGGCGATGCTGAGGGACGCGCCGCGGGATGCGAGTAGGATGGCCGTTGCCAGCCCCATGCCCTGGGCGGCGCCAGTGAGGGCAATGACTTTGTCTTGGAACTGCGCTGCAGACATAATTCAATGATGACACACCTCGGACTAGAAAAGGATCCGGTATAGCTATCGCGGTTGCCCTCCTTTTGAGGGTTTCTAATTAGTCTGTTGGGGCCATCGCTATCAATTGGATTTGGGCATGGCCCTTTATTCCCATCAACAGTCGTTACGGTAATCCTTATCCGGCACATGCTCGCCAAGCGACAACCGAGGGCGGAAGTCAACTTGGCGGCGGAAATGGCGCTGGTGGCATTTCCCTGGGGATAATAGGCTAGACCAGAGCGGATGTCGTGTTTCTGGTCTTGGGCGAACTTCCAAGGAGAGGGGGATCCCGCAGCGAGTTGGTATGTGTTGCGCCGGAGAAGCGGTTAATGACCTCCGACCGGATATTCAGCT